TTCCAGACCTTGACCATTGTGTAAACAATCTTTGCTATTGTCACAGCCTTGAATAAAAAAAGATATCCGGTCTGCCACCAATTCCCAACAGGATTTTCATAGGTGCTTTCCCTTTCCTGGGCAGACCTCCCAACCCCCCAATTTAAGAGCTGCAGAATAACCCCTTCCATGTCTCTGAGATACTTTCACCTTTTGTGGAGGGTGTGGATTATTTCTAGGTTTCTGCTACTGTAGTCATGGCAACCATCTTGATCACAAACTCAGGACGAGTGGCATGCTGGGATTTCTGTGTCACTTGTGGCGTTCTGGGCAGACTGGGAACTGGAGATCTGGTCACTGGAACTCTGGTTCCAGTTGTGACTTCTATGACATTTCAAATAGCTTACAAGCCCTGGGTTTTTACAGATAAGGGTTATCACCCTACAGCCAGGGTGTGTTTTTGCTACACTTGGATAATTAACACTGCCGTGGACATTTTCATGTATGTGACTTTGTCTTCTTTTAGATTCCTTCTACAGGATAAGTTTTTAGCAGTGAGATTCCTGAGTCGAAAATAAATGAATGTTTTTGGGGGTGGGGTGTATTTGGGAAAAACAATCGATTTGTAGTCAGAAGTGTCCAATCGTCGCTCTCCTTTTCACTGGCATGTGATCTAGCTCATTTTCTGAACTGTTTTCCTCATCTGTAGAATGGTGGTGATAATTTGAAAAGCACAAGGTTGCTGTGAGTATTAAATGGGAGAAGGCAGAAGGCGCAGAGCCACTTACTTAGTATGGTGTCTGACTCTTGATGGAGTCTCAAAAATGTTAGTTGAAAGTGAATATTGCCAAATTGCTTTTACCATGTTTTCCCGAAAATAAGACCTAGCTGGAGAATAAGCCGTAGCATGATTCTTCCAGGATATGGAGGGCACGCACCCCTCACATGAGGGTTTTATGAGGGTTTCAGGGATAAGGGTGCCTTTTTCACAAACTCTTTCAGCTTAAAATATTCAGTATGCCAAGGTGCCATATTTTGGCACCTGAAATCAAGCGAGGGCTTATTTTCTGGCTAGGTCTTATTTTTGGGGAGACAGGGTATAACGTACATTGCCCCTGGGAGGAGATGAGCATATTAATTTTCCCATACCCATGCTTGCATTAGGATATTATCATTTTCTTCTCTCAGGGATGCTCTCCCTTCAGGTAATTTTTGCACACTGACTTTATGTCTGCAGTATGGTATGAGACCCTGGGGTTACAGCTGTGAATGGGACCCAGGACCCTCCTGGCCAGGAGCTCCCATTCTGGTGGACGGAACAAAGGCAGTTACCACGTGTGTGACCATTGCTAGGCTGGGGCAAAGCACCAAGAGTTACATACCAGAGCACAGAGGAGGTACCTGAACCTGCCCTGGGGCATCAGGGAGGGCTTCCTGGAGGAGGTGGCAGCTTGGAGCTGAGAATCGAGGGATGGATAGAGATCAGCCAGACAGAAGGAAGTGGCAGTGTTGTGGTGTGCAGGCAAGGAAAAGCACAGTGTCTTGTGACCTGTCTGAGGGTTCATTGTGCTGAAGTCAGTATGTGAGTGTGAGTGAGAGACAAGACAGGTTGATGGGAGGCGTCAGTCATGAGACTAAAGATGGTGAGCTGAAAAGGAGCTGGACCTTGCTGGGCCTCAAGGAAGGAGTTTGATTTTTTTTTTTAACTTTATTGGGGAACAATGTTTTTCCCAGGACCCATCAGCTCCAAGTCAAGTTGTTGTCCTTCAATCTTAGCTGTGGAGGGTGCAGCTCAGTTCCAAGTCCAATCTCCATTATCAATCTTGTTGTGGGGGGCACAGCCCACCATCCCATGTGGGAATCGAACTGGCAACCCTGTTGCTCAGAGCTCGCACTCTAACCAGGTGAGTCACCTGGCCGCCCCAGGACTTTGATCTTTATCCAGAGGGCAGTGGGGAGACACTCATAGGCTTTGCGCAGGGTGGGTGACATGGTGGCATGTGCATATCAAAGAATCACTCTGGCTGTTGCTAGAATAGAGTGGTGGTGGCTCCAGCAGAGAGGCATCTGGGCGAGGAGGCAGATTTTATATGTCCTTTCCCAGTGAACTTTCCCCTGGCCACTCCCTCTTTTATTGCCCCTTAGTGAACATTCTATATATGTTGCTTATTTATGTTGTTTACTGTCGGTTCCCCTCTTCTTGATTGTTAGCTCCATGGGAACAGGGCTTTCGAGATGTTTTGTCCCCAGCACTTGGTCCAGAGCCTGGCACAGAGTGAGTGCTCAGTCATTTCATATTGGAGTGAATGAAGGAATGAGCTAGGGCTGCAGCCATGGGGGTGGGGCGGCGAGGACGCCTGCGGTCCAGGGACATTAGACATTGGGCCCTTTCCATCTTGGGCCCCTGGGTGGATGAACTGCACACTGTTCCTGCAGCCTGGCTAAGTTTGGGAGGACACGGGCATGCCCTGGACCCTTCGCACAGCACACCCCACGCATTTGCAGACTTGGGGGCCCAGGTCCCATTCCGGAAGACCCTGGAAGGTGTCAGGACTGGCTCGCGCCCCTTGCCAGATGGTGGCATTCCCAGGAAACAGTACGCTGAGACCGTTGAGTGAATGACTGGTAAGCTCCACAGATCCGATTTAAGGGTGTACTTATGAAGGATCAGCAACAGCTGTGAGAATGAAGCAACGCCTCTGAATCTGAGCGAAAAGCTGCCCAACTGTTTGGTTTTGAATGGAAGTGCTTCTCTTGCCTTATCCCTGAGTGGTTCTCTCGGATTCCCTGGGAGACTGTGAGCTCCACGGCTCTACCCCCAGCGTCCAGCCCAGAGCCTGGTTTCCGGAAGGAAGGTCGGAGGATGGACACGAATGGATGAAGGATCCTGAGTGATGCCTGTCTAATTTCAGCAATTATCAGCCTTGGTGATTCAATTCCCAGGAAGAATGCTTTTCCCTCAGTGAAACTATGGGAAATGGGAATTTTAAACTTTGCAAATCAATTAGGGAGAACAAGCCTATGGACTTGGCAGATTTAGCAAGAGCAGAGATACACCCATTGCTACCCCCACTGCTTGAGGTCAGACTGACATCCTCTGTCTCCTGGTCCACTGCAGCCTCCTGATGTCCTAGGTCAGCCATGCTCCCCATCTGTCCTCCGTGCCAACCTCCACAATGATTAATATACATAAAACCACAGATGGCTCTCACTTAGTGCCCCTTCTGTCTCCAGGGAGCTCTGTTTACCTGGCTTTGGCCCTCGTGCTAATACATTTAAAAAGAGCAAGCAAGGCCGCCTCAGGAATGCACAGCACCTGCCACTGTATGAGTGGGCTTCCGAAATGTTCTGAACGAGACTACCATCTCTTAAATTAAGCATAACATATGTGCTGCATTTAAAGTAAGGTTTTAAAGCATATGTTTCGATAGGTTTCATTGCAGTTTACAACAGGTGACATGAAAACCTGAGAATCATGGAGTTCTCTAGGTTTGGGAAAGACTTCAAAATATCATTTAGCCATTCACTATGGTGGGTTAAAAACATTTTTTTCCCTTTGTCCGTTGATTTATTAATTAATTCATGGATTCGTTCGTGCAACCGTATTTACATACCAGGCATTTTTAAATGGAAACTTGAGAGGAAGCCCAAGATGTTAAGCAGATGACAGACAACAGAGACACTGCTCTGGTTAAGAGGGGTGCGGACGAGGGGTCTTTTCTCTCTTGTCTTTCCCTGCAGTCTGGCTACTGAGGTGGGTTCAAGGATTCCCCAAATAGGGTGACCTTTGTGTACCATTGATCCTATTTCAGCAAGTTGCTCTTGGTGACTCCGTTACCAGGAAAAGCCATACCGAGACGCATTCGTCCCACATTTGTGCAGATGAGCTGGTGCCAGTGCGGAGTGAATATGGTCACAGCATGTGTCTGACAGTGGCCTGTCCTAGACAGCGGATCTCCTCCCTGTGGCTTCACTGAAATGGGTGGGGCCTCTTGGTGGGGTACACAGGTTGAGCTTCCGGCCACACCCTTCACAGCTCTTTGGTTCTGTCATCCTGTAGCAGTTGACCTATGACCACTCCAAAGCTTGCCAGATCCTGAGAATCTCATCTTATTGAGAGTTATGAGACTCATGGCACTTACATTTATTCAGAATCTTAGAAGAGTACTCAATGGGTGCGGGAGAATATTTCTTCGTTTACTTATTCACTCAGTAGTTGTGTAGTTGATGCTATTATATGTCCGGCTACTGGGCTGACCTCCGGGGATTCAGGGTGCCTTCTGGGGTCTTACCAGTGAATGGGAAAGACTGATGTGAATGGAAGGATCGTGCACTAGTAAATGTAACTGCGTAGCTAGGATGAGTCCTGCTGAGTATCGGTGGGGTTCTGTGGACATGTGAGAAGGAGATTGTACTAGGTTGGAAGGGTGCAGAAATGCCTGCGCTATGATATTAGGGGTGGGCTTGTGTCTGTGTGTGAGTGGGAGGAGTATCCCAGAGAGCATGCTCAGCATGTGCAAAGGCCCTGAGGAGGCGTTTGAGAACCTCCAAGTGATGCCATGTCCAAGTACTGCTGAGCAGGAGGAGATCCAAGAGAAACACAGCTTCCCATGTTCAGACAGCACCGTGAGTATTCAGAAGTCACCTCCTCTAAGTCTAGAGAGCCTTCTGGAACTATTGCTCCCAATTCTAGGCACTGAACCCTCCTTTGCTTGCTCCCCTTTGTAAACTACGATGGTTATTGCACGGAATTGCCTGTGTGTGTTTCTTACACAAGACCGTGAGTTCCCCAAATGCAGGGCACATCTCTGTGCACATAGCAGGTGCTCAATAAACATGTATCAGAGGAACAGGGTCGAGTTTTATTGAGCACCAGTTGTGGACTCAGCACTCTTTATGCACACATATATATAAAGCTGCAATATTAAAAAGCTGAAAGGAGCATGAGTTTGACAAGCTGGGGAGATGCCAGCGGATGCTATTGGCGCGCCAAAGCTTTTGCGCCGTCTGTGCCCATATTGCTGGAACTCGGGAACGGAGGCTGTGGTCCTGTGTCTTTCCAGACCTGCCGACACTCGGCCTGTGGGAACGAGCCTCCCCTCCCCTGCCAGCTTCTGCCATGGGAGTGTGAGGACAGCCCTGTTTGCAATGAGATGTGACACTGTTGGCTTTTTCTGGCGGTCACACATCCCCAGCCAGGGCCTGCCAGCTCTGGTAAGTGGGGCTGGAGTGTCCAGGGGGTGGAGGGTGCCGGTGGGTTTTGCCAGGGAAATATCTTTGTGTCCTTTGAGTCCTGTTATTGTCCTGTGTCTCATGTCCAGGCTACATATGTGTCCCAGAGCAGGGTTTCGAGAGGTCATGGGGGGTGGCTCTAAAGCCCTGATTTGGGGCAGGACCCCCGGGCACCTTAGAACTCTGCCCAGCATCCTTGCAGGAAGAATTTTCGCATTCTCTGATTGCCCGATTCTTCATATCCATCCCTCTCTTCTGCCTCTAACATGTCTAGACAGTGTTCTTCAGTTTGAGGAGAAGGAATCAGTTAGCACCATCAAGCGTGTAAGGAAGAGAAATTATCAAAAGCCGTCTGCCTTTCCTGCAAGCTGCTGAGTGAGTCAGAGCCGGGGGCAGCGGTGTAGGGCCCCAGGAAGGGAAGCAGGAGGCTTGCATTGAATTAAAATACCTTCTTTTAGTCCATCGAGATCAGGGCAGGCTTGGGGCAGTTTTGTGGGGGAGATGGAGAGGGGACGGTGAAAGGGAACACTGCCATGAAGGTGGGAGCAGGGTGGGGAGTAATCAAAAGTGGGGAGTAATCAAAAGCCATGACTAGTCTGGCACTTTTTAAGACCAAAAAGGAATAAGACAGAATTTTTTAAAAGGCAGAATTGATGACTTGTGGACTTGAGGTCATCAGGTTTTAGCTGTGTGATATAGGCAAGTTGGGTGACCTCTCTGGGCCCTTTCCCTTTACCTCTGTAATGTAGATACCCATAGTCCCTGCTTCTTGGGATTGTTGGAGGATTAATGAGAGAGGTGGGCACCTGCCTTGAGAGAGCAGATCATAAGCTGGATGAACAAGGGGCTCACACCCGAGCTGCAAAATGGGGTCTGATAATAACTGTACCCACCTCATAGGGTTGTCAGGAGGATGTGATTTATAAAACACAGGAAGCACTTGGCTTACCTTGAGGCCTCACTCCTGCTACGCCCTCGTTAGCTGTTACTCTCATTGAGACAATGACCCAGACATTGACTGAATTTTAAATTTATGGGTATTTTGTTTGTTTGTTTGTTTGTTTGTTTTTTGAGCAGTTTCTTCTCTATTTCGGATGTTCTTAATCCCCATGGATCCACAACTGTAACCATGGCCACGCGGGTCGAGGTCGGCTCCATAACTTCTCTGACCGGAGTCCCTGGCCTCGGGGAGATCACCAAGGAGGAGACCCTGAAGCGGTCCTACTACCGTCAGACTGCCGACACCTCTGGGGCCCCCTCAGCACGGCTCTTGGAAGGAAAGAGTCCCCTTAGGAGCACGGCCCGCTTACTTCCTCTGCCGAGACTCGCCCCCAAACCCTTCTTCAAGGAGAAAGCCCCGGATGTGAAACCCTCCCTTGTATCTTTGCGGCCCAGCCCAAGCAGGCCTTCTCCTTCCAGTGGGCCATCCCAGGACGTGGTGGCACAGGATCTGGGTGACAGGATGCCCAGCTTGGTGGGGCAGGAGGCGGGGAGCGGCGAGAGCCTGAGGAGAAGCTCGTCTCTGTTCAATAAGGCCGCATTTTTGCGGTCCAGCCCTAACACCGTGATTCTCTTTGAAACCACCAAAGCCGGCCCTGCTCTGGGGAAGGGGGTCAGTGAAGGGGCTCAGGAGGCCAACGCAGGCGTGTCTCAGGAGTCCCCGTCGGGCTCCCGGCCTGAGGTGGCCACCAAGCCCACCCTGCCCGCCCAAAAGCCCCGGGGGACCCTTCCCCGACCGGCCTCCCTAACGCAGGACACAAGGCAGCCTGCCACCCAAGAGGAGACAGGCCCAAACGAGCCTCTCTCAAAGGCCAGTAGTATGGAGGAGCCTAGGCCTTGCCTGAGAAGAAGGCCTGCATCGGCCATTTTCACCGAATCCATTCAGCCTCAGAAGCCAGGCCCAGGTGGAGCTGCTACGGTGGGAAAGGCGCCCCCTACCCCTCCTGAGAAGACATGGGTGAGGAAACCCAGGCCTCTGTCCATGGACCTCACGGCCCGGTTTGAGAGCAGAGAGGCCTTGCTGAAGAAGGTGGCTGACGAGGCCACAACAGGTCCCACCGCCCAGCGTCGGGGGACCGAGAGGCCCAGCCCGGAGCCCAAAGTGGATGGGGAGTGTTTGATCAAAGCAGAGGCTCCCCTTCCTGACCCAGATTCCGACTTCCTGGAGGTAGCCAAGAAGGTTCGAGAACGGAAGGAAAAGATGCTTTCTAAGCAGGTGGAACTGGGCAGCCTCAGGACTGCTGGGGGCTCAGCCAGGGGAACCCCCACAGAGGACCAGAAGCTAGGGGAAGAGAAAGCTAAGCTGGGTGGGGAGCCAGAGAAGGCACCCGAGTCCCCTTCGCCCAGGCTGGGAAAAGGCGAAGAAATAGCCGAGATCAAGAGCAGAGCATCTAACGGGGAAACCCGGGCACGGGCAGAGTGGACATCGAGGGGCAGCGTCAAGAAGCGCCTCAGCCTGTTTGGGGAGGAGAGCATCTTGGCCTTGGCAGTGGGGTCTGAACCTCCAGTTGCCACTGCTGAGTCCCCATTGGCTGTGCCAGAGACAGAAAAAGCAGGCGTGAGCGTCCAGGAGCGGATCAAAGGCTGGGCCACGGAGAGCTCTGAGGCCAAGCCGGAGGTCAGGAGGAAGGCGTACAGGGCACGGCCCCTGTCAGCGGATTTGACCAAAGTGTAAGTGAGAAAGTCCCAGGGGCTTCATTTAGTCCTCAAGCTGCCTCAACCTGCCAAGCAGAGGTCCTTCTAGGAAGGGAACCACAGGGCGCCAGGCTCCATGCTGGGCACCTTACACCCCCTGTCTGGGTTTACCCACAGGCCTGAGAGGAAGTGGGGATATCGTCCATTCCTCAGGTGAGATGTGTGCCAGCAGTGAGGCCAAGGAGCTCGGTTTTATTGTCTCATCTCATCTTTGTACTTGATAGGGGGAGGCATTGTGCCCATTTCACAGATTCGGATAGGAAAAGTGATGTACTGTGAGGAAGTCAGGAGCCCCATGTAATTCCAGCTCAGCCTGTCTCCGTAGCTAAGCTTTCTTTTCCTAAAGTCTGAGGACATTTAATATATGGCCGAAACCTCCATGAATGGCCCCCAAAATAAAATCAGATGGGCCAAGATAACTTGGGCAAGTCGCCTCCCCTCTTGAACCTCGGTTTCTTCATCTCATGATCCTAAGATTAAGGTAAAGACCCAGAGACACAAAGCTGGAAATCGCTCTGCCCATGGGAAGCCCGTAATTCATTGTAGCTCTAAGTGATATTATTAATCCTGTTAGTTAATAATGATTTTCTGAGCTTGCCTAGCCTCTGACACCTCTTGCTCTTTTGTTTTTCCCACAAGTGGCTTCTGGGTTACAATAGGGAGATGCCACTAGGTGTGTCCACCAGCTCAGTAATGACATGGGTGCCACTGACATACTTTGCTGGGGATGGCGCTTCCTTCCAGGGGGCAGGACTGTTGGGTAGGCTGCCCTCCCAGCCCTGGGAACTAGGGCAGCCAGCTGGGCCAGAATTAGACCGGTGGCTCTCAGCATTTAGAATCACCTGGAAAAAAACCCAGTGCCTGGGTTCCGCCCCCAGGGACTCTGATTCAGTTAGTCTGAGGAGGGGCTCCTATCTTGGTAGTTTTTAAAAGCTTCTCACGTGAATCTCATGGGCAGGCCCGAGAACCCGAGTTCAGATAACAGAGAAAGGGGCGCCCACGCCAGGGACCTCACATGCTTTTTCCTCCCTGCGTCCTCACAGTGCCTCGGGTTATTCCCATCTGACAGATGGGGAAACTGAGGCTCCCAGTTTAGAAACAACTCATGCATGGCCTCATGCCTCCCAGGAGGCTGACCTGGGATTGCTGAGTATAGGTCAAGTTTAAGTGGTTTGGTTTCTCTCCCCTCCCTTTTCTCTGCAGCCCCCAGCTCTGAGCTAATCTTTACGCATCCACTCCAGGGTACTTTTCAGAGATGGAAAAATTCTAGCCCCAGAACACCCCTTTGTCTCTCTTCCCTTTCACAAGTGGGGAAACAGGCCCGGACAGCGACTTGGCCAAAGTCACGTGGAGAAGCAGAGACAGGCCCATGCCCCCACACATTCCATGACAGCCCACTGCCCCTGAGTCCCTTGTCTAGCATGCAGCGGGGCTGCTGTTTGTGCCAGTGGTTGCTAACAAACAGCCATTAATTATCCCTCCTGGGGCATCCTCAGTCTTCCCTGAACGCCCTCATGTAGCTATTAGGGCCTTGGGTAACCTCTTATCTGCCCTACAAAAGGCCACGGGGAGGTGTTAATTATCCCCGTTTTATAGATGAAGAGACGGAGGCTCAGGTGAGGTCACAAGCCTGACCCAAGCTCCCACAGTGGAGAGGTAGTAGAACTGGCACTAGCACCCCGGTCTCTTCACCCAAGCCTGGAGCTCCTGCTAGTCCAACAATGCTTTGTTTAAGGTAGGCTGTCCCCACCAGGTCCTTCTTAGTGGTTTGGTGATCGGAAAAAGAAATGTCTTTTTTTCAAAGCAAACTGGGCAGTGCTGCTTTGATGAGCTCAATGCTGACTTCACCCCTGGGTCCCTGAGCTAGTTACGGGGTGTGGGCTGGAGGGAGTCACAGCTACTGGGCCCTTGCAAATCACGTGGATCTCTTTACCAGGTTTTCAAGTTCAATTTCAAGCAATGGAGTCAAGTATGAGAAGTGTTCGGAGCTGAGTGGCGAGCTTGCTAAGGAACCAAGAGACAAGGTAAGGAGCTGTTGTGTTTGGCACATTTTTTTTTTCCCCCCAGTGGGTAATTATACTTACTGGAAAAAGAACTTTTATGATCTGCAAGATCTAGGAAAGAATCAAAAGACTCTTATGAACAATCAAAACAGTTTTTCCTTTAAGGCATGACTTTTAAAGTTCCTCCTGGTCTGATGGCTTGCAAGTCCCTGTTCCATGGTGTTAAATGCTGTTTACAAATGTAACTGCCAGGTGTTCGTTTTTTCATTGTAAAGAGTAGGAGGGACATGGCTTTCCTCTGTAAGAATCCTGCTTTATTAAGAAATTAACAAGAACTTAAAAAATGTTACTAGAAACCCCCTCAGCTTCCCCGATTATGGTCCCGGCTTCGTTCCCCACTGGTCACCTACAGAAGGAGGGAAATGACCAGCAATTAAATTGCTCAAAAGGTATTTTTATTTAGTCCAGTTCATCAGAAAAAGCTCATAAAATAACCCCTAGGTATCACTGGTTTGTGGTTGATGCTTTCTGCAGAGTTTTAATTTTTGAAAAACAGCTTTATTGAGGTATAATTGACATACAGTAAACTGCACATGTATAAAGTGTAACAAGTTGATGAGTTTGACGTATATAGGTACATACCTGTGAAACTGTTGTTACGGTCAAGATAACGAACCTTTCCAGCACAGGCAAGCTTCCTCTTTGTAATCCCTTCCACCCCCTCCTCTGATCTTTCTGCTTTCTGTTACTATAAATTAGTTTGCATTTTCTAGATTTTTCTGTAAATGGAACCAGTGCTTTTTTTTTTTTTGGTCTTCCTTCTTTCACTCAGAATAATTATTTTAAGATGTATCAAATTGCAGTGTGTATCAATAGTTCATTTCTTTTCATTACTGAGTATATTCCCTTGTATGGGTACACCACAGTTCGTTCATCCATTCACCGTTTTGTGGACATTTGGGTTGTTTCCAGTTTGGGGGCCATTGCAAATGAGGCTGCTATGAGCATTTGTGGGCAAGGTTTTGCAGGGACATCTGTTTTCTTTTCTCTTGGGTCAATCCCTAGGAGTGGAATGGCTGGATCGTATAGTAGGCATAGGTTTCATTTTTAAAGAAACTTATGCAGAGTTTTAAACACCAGAGCTTGGTTCCAAGCCCGTTTGCACCTTCCCATCGTAAATCCTCCAGCACAGGTGAGCTGGCTCTGAACAGCAGTGCCCCCTGCTCTTGGGATTGGTGGTTTGTCCTGCTTTTTTGTATCATTGGATCTTCTGAATCATTTCTTTGGTTGAATCAAAATGGTTGAAAAGGGCCCTTTTTAAGTAAAGCTCCCTGTATTCACATCACAATGCTATAGTGGCAACAACAGAAAGAATAAAAAGGGCGCTTTGAAGCAAGTTGGGTGAAATCTTGGTTGCCATTGAATCTAGGGGATGGGTTGAGGTGAATTTGTTATTTTATTTATAATTTTGTATATGCTTGAAAATTTTCAAAACCTGAAAAGTTAATCAAATGGAATGAGATTTCATCTCTATAAATGGACTTTTTTTTTATTGTGGTAAAATACACATAACACAAAATATACCATTTTAACTATTTTTTAAGAATAGTAAGTATATTTTTAAATTTAAAAAAACTAAAACACAAACACACACACACACACACACACACACACACACACACACACACAAAATAATGCAAGGGGAATGTCCTAGAAAGTTCCTCCAGGATGTACTCCCCATTGGTAACAGTTGTTATCCAGGAAGGGGGCTGGTATTTGAATGAGGGAACTAAAGGACTTGAGCTTTGTCTTTATTCTTTAGATTCCTTTACAATGAAAATAGATCCATATATTATTTATGCAAAATTCATGTAATAAAATACAAACAAAAATTTTAAATCAGTGTCTTTTTAAAATTCTTTAATGGCATTTTGTCATCTAGAGTAGAGATTAGCAAAGTGTGGTCATTCTAACTATTTTCAAGTGAACAGTTCAGTGGCATTAAGTATATTCTTTTTTTTTTTTTTTTTTAAAGATTTTTTATTGGGGAATTGGGGGGATGGGAACAGCGGTGGGGAATTGGCAGAAGGGGAACAGACAAGTTGCTATTGTTTTGTTCTGCAGTCTAGTTGTGGAGGATGTTGCTTCACTGGCCCAAGTTGGCACCATCATTGCGCTCTTCCCGGGCGAGGCAGATCAGTTGCCAGCTTCTGGACGGCCGCTCACGGCAGCTCTTGGCAGCTCACGCTGGCTGCCGGCCACTCACGGTAGCCCATGGCAGCCCACTGCAGCTCCACTGCAGCCTACGCCGTCGCCTGCGACTCACGGCAGCCCAGCTCCAGGTTGAGCTGTTGTTCAGCATCTTAGCTGTGGAGGGCAGTGTCACTGGCCCTCATATGTGGGATCCAAACCGGGGCCCTCTGGCGTCCCAAGCCAGTTCTTAACCATCGCGCTACTCGGCCGGCCCAGTATATTCTTAATGTTGTACCACTATCACCACTATCTAGTTCCAGAATTTTTCATCACCCCAAATGGATACCTCTTGCCAAGTCACTTCCCGTCCTGATGAACCCCTGTTCCTTGGCAACCACGAGTCTATTTTCTGTCTCTATACACTTGTCTATTCTGAATATCCTATATAAGCGGATATAACACAGCTTTCTTGCGACTGGCTTCTTTCACTAAGCATAATGGATTCATCCATGCTGCAGCATGTGTCAGAACGTCATTCTTTTTTTGTGGCTGAATAACATTCCATTGCATGCATACCCCACATTTTGTTTACCTGTTCATACACTGGTGGATGTTTCAGTTGTTTCCACCTTTTCGTTACTGTGAATTGTGCTGCTGTGGACATTTGTGTACAAGTTTTTGTCCGAACACCTATTTTCAATTCTTTTGGGTATGTACCCAGGAATGCAATTGGTGGGTCCTATCATTAATTCTTTAACATGTTGAAGTAGATTTATTTGTAACAGAAAAAAAAATTTAAATTACTAAATAATATATGCATATTATAAAAGTTGAAGAGCGAAGGGTGTAAGATTAAAAGATGGTGTTCTCATCCTCATTCCTTGTTCCTATCCTTACTCACAGCTTCATTTACATTTTTTCTCCACTGCTTATCTACACATACACACAATTTTTAAAAATGCTATTACATTATAAATATACTGTTCTGCAAAGTTATATAAATTCACTGTTCTGCAGTCTGCTTTTCTCCCACCAACACAACAATGTGTTGTGCGTTCTTAGATGTCACAACATGAGAACCCACCCCCTTCTGTGTATCTAAGTACCTGTGTGGTATTCCACTGTTTGGATATATCAACATTTGTTTAGCCAGTGCCCTTCAGATGGGCACTCACATTGTGCGTTTCCATTTGCTTTCACGAGCAGTGCTGTGTGATCTTTCTTGTTCATGTAGACTTGTGCTTGTGGGCGAAGAAGGACTCTGGAGAGGAAACTGGCTGGACTAAAGGAAATGAGCATTTTATTTTTATTTATTTGTTTTTTAAGAATTTTACTGGGGAATTGGGGGAGGGGAACAGACAAGTTGCTGTCCTTTTGTTCTTCAGTCTAGTTGTGGAGGACGTCGTTTCACTGGCCCATGTTGGTATTGTGATCATTGCGCTCTTCCCGGGTGAGGCAGATCGGTCACCGGCCACTGGACGGCCGCTCACGGCAGCTCTTGGCAGCTCACGCTGGCTGCCGGCCACTCACGGTAGCCCATGGCAGCCCACTGCAGCTCCACTGCAGCCTACGCCATCGCCGGTGACTCACGGCAGCCCAGCTCCAGGTCGAGCTATTGTTCACCATCTTAGCTGTACAGGGCAGTGTCACTGGCCCTCATGTGGGATCCGAAATGGGGCCCTGCTGCTCAGAGCTGGCGTCCAAGCCAACTCTTAACCAACGCGCCACTCGGCCGGCCCAGAAATGAGCATTTTAAAATCATGACAGATGTACTGAATTGCCCAAAAGTCATAACCATGTATTAATATGTTTTCTCCAACAATATCTGAGAGTATCCATTTACCCACCCCTTCACCCACTCTGGATGTGTCCCGTCTTTCCATTTTATGGTATCTCACTGCTGTGATTTTAAAAGCAGCCATTTCAATGGTCTTGCCACTTCCTTTCCATTTTGAATGCTTTAACTGAAGTTGAATTGTTTCTTCTTTTTTATTTTTTTCAGCAAAAAGAAGGGCCTGGTTTGGATGGAGCACCTGCTCCAAGAAGCCCCTGGGAGTCTGGGAATCTCCGGGAGAAGTCCAGGCAGACAGAGTGGAAAGACAGTTCTCACCAAGTCCCCGACAGCTGTCGCAGCAAAAGCTCGGTGGGGGCCCTGAGCTCCCCAGAAGAGGATGGAAGCTTTCAGACTGTGAGAGCCACCGTGTTTGAGCATCACGTGGAGAGGCACACTGTGGCTGACCAGTCAGGACGCTGTCCCTCGGCCACACCCCCTGGTGATGTGACCCATGCCTCAGAGCTCAAACCCAGGCCTGACAGAGGCTCGAGGCTGGGCAAGGACCCACCAGAAAAGATGATTCTCAAGCAAGAGAAGTCCAGGTGGCTTGAAAACCCTGACACCGAGAAATTGGGGCGGACTGCCCTTTCGAATGGTGACCCCAAACAGTATCCCACGCCTCTCTCAGAAAAATACCCTCTGGGCGAAAAACGCAGTAATAACCCCTTCCTTAAATGCTTGGAAAACCCTCCCATGTCGCAGAGGGTTGAGCCTAAGTATGACATTGTACAGGTAGTGGGGGAGCGTGCGCACAGTGAGGCCGTCCCCACGGTGCCCGAGGAGAAAGCTGTGACACTCCGCAGTGGCAAGTCCCGACTCTCACTGAAGGGAAGGCAGCTGTCCCCTGAGGTCACCCCTGCTGACCTAGGGTACAGGCTGGACAGTCAGGCGGGGTCCGTCCAAAGGGCCAGTTTGATTTGGGAAGCTCGAGGGACGCAGGAGGTCAGTGGGCCCAAGCCTGACTTCCGAGAGCCAAAGGACACATTTGGAGGCAATTGCCTGTCGCCCAAGTGGACAGGTGGGGTTACCGGCAACTGGCATAAAGCCACTGTGGTGGTCAGTGACGAGAAAGGCTCGGAAGTGAGTCCTGAGGTCACCAGTGAGTGCGCAGCTAGGCCCTGCGGCCCTGAGGCCACCTGTATGAGGGCCGTCCAGGCTGCTGTCAGGGAGGCCCAGCACCAGGGGCCTGAAGGGGCCGGAAAGAAGCCAGGAGATTGCGTTGCAGCAGGAGAAAGGGGTCCCCCCCGGGGCTGCCCTGTGGACCCTCCTTCCAGGGCTAAGGACGAGAGCTCTGACTTCCGAGCACGGCCACGTGCTGATCTTGTGCAGAAAGAGCCTCTCGTGGTGACAGCCAGTGAGGGCGCACCGAGGCCAGCCGAGGCACGGGAGCCTGAAGTCAGGATGCGGAAGGTGAGCCCCACAGACGCGAGATTTGAGAGGTGGCGGCGACGGACTTTACCCCACGATGTGAAGTTTGATGAGTTCAGCTTCCTGTCTCCAGAACACCCTTCAAAGGTGGAGCAGAGACGCACGGATTATCTGAGCCCCACCGCCGGTGCCTTAAGGAAACCTCAGCTATCCCATAATAGGGTGGGCGCCCAGGAGGGCTACCCAGGTATGTCACAGGACCCAGCTCTTCCAGCAGGAAAGCAAGGGTCACCTGTGGAACCCAAGGCGACATTTTTTGCAGTGACATATCAGATTCCTGATACTCAAAAGGCAAAGAGTGTTGTTAAGTCAGGGCCCCAAAGGTTGACGGAACATTCTAGAAAAACAGCTCCGCCTCCATCTCCTCATCCTTTAGCATCTACCTTGGTTTCCCTTAACCCTGAACAGCCACCGGAGACCATGGGCAGTAAAAACTGGGCTCAGGGCAGAGAGCGTGACGGTGCAAGCTTTTCGAAAACTCCGAAGCCAACAGATGCTCCGTCACCTCTTGGGGACAGGACTGTGGACCTTTCTACTGAAAGAATCATCGACACCGATGCTGTACGGATTCGTCGGCAACCAGAAGACAGCACCGGCTTTCAGAACGATTGGAAGGACAGTGGGAACAAGACGTCTGCCAGTAGCGCTCCCCAAACGACCCCAGTTTTTAAAAGTCACCCGAAAGCCGGTGATGTCCTTGTCAGAAGGAGGACTGAGGTGGTCAGCGAGACATTCCCAGGCAAAATGAAAGATGGCTACAGATCCAGCGTTCTCGACATTGACGCTCTGATGGCCGAGTACAAGAAGCAAGATGCTCAGGAGCAGACGCAGGATCCCCCCGCAGAGCCCAGCAGCTCGGCTCAGGAGAGGCCCGGCCAGCAAGGCGGGGCGGAGCGGAGGAGGAGGAGCCTGAAGGAGAGGCCTGAGGTGGAGGGTCTCTGGAAACCAGCCGGTTCTGCAGAAACAAACCACAGTGCTAGTCCTGGCTCGGGCAAGCAGCCAGTAGAGACCCCGGGGGCAGCCGCGAACACCAAGCTCAGCCCTCCTCTGTGGGCTCTGCCACACTCGGTTCCTTCCGAAAAATATCCAGGGGCCTCCTCTGGTTCTGGGGGTTCCAGGAAGAAAATCTCAGGAATCGCTGAGGATGAAACAAAAGCCTTTGCTAGTAAACCTCACAGTGCAAAGTGTCAGAATTACCCGGCTGAGTCAAAGCCCACCACCGCCTGGGACGATCTGGGCAGTGGAGCCCGCGTGTTGCCCAAAGCCTCCTCAGCTGACCAGAAGAAAGGGACCCCAAGGAAATCCATCAGGAAAGGAGAGGAGGGCCGTGTGGCCCAGTGGGGTGACCACCCACGAGACTGTGGAAGGTCACCACTGGATGTCAAGAGGGCCTATTCAGAGAAGGGTCCCCCGGCCAAAATCCGAGAAGGCCTGTCCATCATGCAGGAAGCCAGAGAGAGGAGGCACGTGCAGCCCAAAGGGAGGCCCGGCTTCCCCGGGGAGAGTTCCGTGGCCGAGGAGACCAAAACGGGGCCCTGTCGGTGGGAGTCAGGGACTCGAGACAGTCAGAAGGTGAGTATGAAAGCTGTGTCACTGTTGTCAAATGTTGGTTAAATATGTAGGCCAGGGGTCTCAACCTCAGGACCGACGTGGGCCAAGGTGGATATGCAAATGAGCGGAGTCAGCCTGGGTGTGAGACTGTAGGGAATGGTGGGGATTGTGGCAAATGGCGAGCACATGCCTTACCTGAAGGGGGCAACTGCTGCTCAGTTCTGGCTGGTTCTTGACAAGTAGGCATGGTGGTCCTGAGATGGCAGAGCCGACTGATCAAGAGAATCTGAAAAAAAATCCAGATTTCTAGGTGTAATCCCCACATTGTGAAATGAGGACTGCTTACTAAAAAATGCTGTTCAGTCCAAAAGAACATGTCCGCTGGCTCCATTTAGCCCATGGGCCACCAGTCTGAAACCTCTGGCCTAGAATGATGATAATAGTAGATATCATTGATTGTGCACCTGGTCTATTGCAGTGTGTTGTATCCAGTTCATATTGCAGTATTTAGCATCCTGTTCGACATTTTGTGAACAAGAAATATTTGTTGAGTGAGCCATCTTATGTGAGCCTCATGACAACCCCTCTTTTGTGGTTTGGGTTTCCACAGAAGCAGACCCTTGCAAACAGTTGTTTTAGGAGGCGATCCCCGGAGGAGTGGTGGGGGAGTGAAGTGTGGTAGGGAAGGGAAGTGTGGTGATGAAGGTGCCACTCTAGGCAACTGATGCTCATTCTCATTAGAGATCCATGGGGAACAGCATAGATCACCTCTGAGTTATCCTGTCCGAGGGACAAGCAACCTAGAGTTTTTATTTTCTGGGTTACTTCTGTCCTTGCCTGAGGCTGTTTCTGGGGCTATTAACATTCAGACTCATCCTTCCTGGCCACCCTCAGTGGTGGAGAGAAAATGATCACACAGCAGCACACTATTGCCCCTGGTGTGTACTCGAGCGTTGGGCCCACAACATCTGCTGTGGTTAGGATCATCTTGTACTGATGGGAAAAAACCGAGGCTCAGAGAGGTTAAGTAAGTTGGCCCAGGTCACACAGCACCACGTTGGCCAAGCTAGTGTTTGAGCCCCGGTCTGGCTTGATACTCCAGCTGTCAAGTAAGCCACTTGGAGGTGACTGAAGAACCGTGAAGGTGGGGAAGAAATCTAAGGCATGAATCCTGTCTTCAGGAGGCTTTTGAGCCTGGTGGGGAGAAGGGACACAGTGATCACGGCCAGGAAATGACGTGGTGCAGAGTGTGGCACTGGAGAAGAGGCCCAAGAAGGCATCCTAGGGGAGGTGCTGGCTTGAGCCCACCCCTGAGGGCTGGATAGGAGTTTGGATGGGCTGAATAGGGGAGGTGAGGACATTCTTGGCAGAACAGCGTGTGCAGAGGTTTGGAAGTGGGAAAAAACATGGCATGCTCTGGGGACAGTGTGGAAACTTAGTGCCACCCCCTACCCACCTGTGGATGTTGTCTCAGCAAACCAAGGTCCAAATCCTTACTCTGCCACTTATGGACCAAGCGATTAAACTCTTTCCCCGAGGGCCTGAGCTTCAGTTCATCTGTAAATAGAGAATAGGGGGTCCAACTTGGAAAGGACTGTCATAGAAATGAAACAACAGGGTTGTACCAAAGAGATCATGAGACGAAGGATTGCCCAAGGTTAGGGCTGGGTAAGTGGCGGAGTCTGGCTTTGAACTTACATCTCCTCCAGTTACCACACTCAGACTTGCCTGTGAGCCTCCACTCCGCCACTCCCCAGCTGTGTGGAAGCTGTCACTTGCCCTCCCTGAGCCTCCGTTTCCCCACCGGAGTTAACAGGGATCCCTACCTCCAAGCCCTGTTCTAGGCTGCGTGGAGATAAAGCACACAGTATGGGCCACGCACCCAGTGGGTGTGAGCGCAGGGCCGGCGTGTGGCTTCTGCCCATGTGCTTCTCAAGAAGGGGTTCACCTCTCCCCACCTCCTCAAGAAGGGGTTCACCTCTCCCCACCTCCAGGCTGTTATTGTGGGAACGATGGGAGAGGGAAGAAGCCAAGGAAATGTGACACGTAAGCCGTTTGCCAGCGCCTCGCTCAGGGGCTCTGCTGGCAGCGGGGCGAGTCCGGGCGTTGTGGAGGGGGCCCCAGCCCGGCCTTGGACACCCGCCCGGGGTGCGTGGGCCCCAGGAGTGCTGTTGTCAGGGGGATCTGTTTCCTCACTAACGATTGGAAGGCCTTGGACCAGCTCCCTGTTTCTCTTCTCTCCTGCCCAAAGATCTCTGGTTCTTCATCTTAAAAAAATAAAACAAAAGCAATACAGAGGTACAAAATGTTAGTTGTTGAAAATTCAAACCTCACAAGAGTGCATAAAAAAGTCACCCCCTTGAGTCCCTTCCCTTTTTCATCCCCCAGATGTTAAAGTTTTTGATCCTTTGGGACTCTCCTATACTACAGAGTTGCTTATCAAGCCTATGTAGTCATTATTGCTAACGATAGTGAATGCTTGCGTAACATGTAAAATATTATAGAAACATCTGGTTTAGAAAAAAAAGCTCCCCGAAATGGTGAGTCTGGTACATAAACTGGGGCACACCCTTCCAGACCCATCAGTGGTTCCCAACCTTAGGCAGTTTGCCCCCAGAGCCCATTTGGGGAAGAGTTTGCACTAGTGGGTGGGGGCCAGGGGTGCCACTCAACACCCTACAATGCACGGGATGGCCAGAAGCAGCCACCTCCAAAATGTATGTAGCGCCAAGACTGCGGAACCCTGGTCTAGACAGGTAGAGATATAGGTAAGTGTACACTGTTTTATGAAACATGGCAGTACTCCACAGAAAATCTTACAACTTGCTTTTTTTTTTCTTATTTAACGGTACACAAACAGAATGTACCTAATCACCTTGTTATTTTGAGTGACTGCAATGTGACCGAACCCCAACTTTTTTATCCGTACTCTTGTTTGGTGGATATTTAGGTTGGTTGGAGTTTTGGGGTTGGAAGCAGGACGTCAGTAAGCAGCTTGATGTGACTCTTTGCTTCCTTGGGCGAGGATTTCTTGAGTCACAGCCAGTTCTGCTCATGTACCCAGAATGGGGTGTGATTGTAATTAAAGCAATCCTTCCCTCCCTCCCTACCTCCCTCCTTCCCTCTCTCTCTTTCTTAACATTTATTGAAACTTTGTCCCAGGCTCAATTATCATATTTCATTTAATTCACTTATTTTACTTTCAAAAGAGAGAATATTGTCACATGGCTCCAAAATACTTAAAGGTATAGAGCAAAAATTCCCCCACACCGCTCATTCTTTATCCCCCCGTTCCTCCCCACCCAGTAATCACTTATATTCTTTTTTGTCCTAATTCTTTTAGAGTTTCTTTCTGAAAATGCCAGCAAATATGAATGTATAGTCATGGTTTTGCCTCCCTTTTCCATAAAAGAGAGCACCCTGTACCAGTGGTTGAAATTTTGGTCGTCTGTGGGAGGAACCCTGGGAATCCCAAAAGATAGGGGTGCAGGGGATTCACCCCAGGCCCGTTGGGTTGGGACCTCTGGAGTGGGGCCCACCTTTGTTAGTTTTAAAAGCTCCCGTGGGGCTTCTCGGATTGAGGGTCTCTGCTGAACCCACGAAACTGCCACCCGCCTTTTTCTCGTCAGTGCATCTTAAAGAGTTTTTGGATTCAGCCCACATCGAGAGTGGCCTCGTTTCTTCTGACTGCCGCCCAGCACACGTGGCTGACATTCCCATCTTTTGCTATTTGAAAACCTTGTACGTCCGTTTGTATGTCCTTTTGCACATGCGCAGGTACAGCAGGCCATCAACTAACATCGTTCCATGCAATGTGGTTTGGTTATAATTGTCGATAAGAAAAAAAAAGGCTTCCCGGCTGGGGTGCTGTCTGTGGAGTTTGCAGGTGCTCCCCATGTCTGCCTGGGTTTCCTCCCACATCTCAAAGATGTGCATGTTGGGAGAAGTGGTGTCTACATTGTCCCTGTCTGAGTGTGCGTGCGCATGCGCCCTGCCATGGAAGGCCATCCTGCCCGGGGTTGCCTCACACCTTGCTCCTGGAGCTGGCAGGAGAGGCGCTGGCTACCCACGACCCCGAATTGGAATAAGCAAGCGGGTTGCAAGTCATTGTCTTACTTGTTTTTACTCGTCTTTCTTAAATGTATATATAGTTCACATTTATTTCAGTGCTTAATGTTAGATGTGTTTGGGGTCCTTATTTAGAAGTTGGGTGATGTTTTTGTGACTGGGTAGATACCATAGGAATGTAACTGTTGTTTATATCAATTAGCCTAACGTAAAATGGTTTTTGTTACACATCATTTCGCTTAAAAGTCACAGTTTCCGTGAACCTACAGGTGATGTTATGTGTTATTGTATATCCGTGGGTTCAGGATGACGATCGCCTGTCGAGGGGTGAACATGGTTGTCATGTTAAGGACCCTGCCAGTTCACCCAGCTCGCACCCTCACCAGCAATGACAGGCCCCGTCTCCCTCAGCATGCCAGCTGGGTGTATCATCAGACTCTGGAGCGCATGTCCCCAACAAGTGTCCCTCTTCTTGTCACATGGGTGAAGCCATTTGTATTTCCTTGTAACCCACTTGTTTATGTTCTGCCTGCTTTTCTTTTGGAAAGTCGGTCCTTTTCTCATTGAGTTCTTGGAGTTCTTTATTAGGAAGACGAACCCTTTGTTCTTTTATAATCTGATTTCTCCCTGAAACAGCCCTGGACTGCAAATTGGGCAGACCTGGGATCGGGTCCTGGCTTTGTGACTTACGAGCTGTGTGACTCCGGGCATCATGCCAGACCTCTCTGAGCCTTAATTTCCTCATCTGCAGAATGGGGATCCTGCCTGCTTCATGGACTTGTTGGAGACATATCACAAAGTAATGTGTGGTCAAGCCCTTGGCTCAGGGCCTGGTGTGAAGGAGGCTTGAGGCTATCAAGGGATGTACTTCCTCCTTCTCTCCCTCCCTCCCTCCCTCTCTCCCTCTCTCCCTCCCTCCCTCCCCTCATTTACTATATTTAATAAATGTACTGACCCCAGGCCAGGCCCCATTCTAGGCACCAGGGCTGTTCAGAGGGACCAGCCCACTAAATCAATCAGCCACTTGCCACATGTGGTTTTTTATAAATTTAAATTAGTTAAAATTCAGTAAGATTGAAAAAATCAGGTCCTCAGTTGCACTAGCCACTTTCAAGTGCTCAAAAGCCACAGGCGGCTCATGGTGACTGCATTGGACCGTCCAGATAGAGAACATCTCCATAATCACAGAATGTGCCAGTGGGTGATGCTAGCCTAGGAAGCAAACAGACCTCAAGCGAGTGAGTGGGTGGGATCGTTTGGAGAGTGGTAAGTCCTAGGGAGACGGAAAAAAAGGCGTTGATGGGGAAGTTAATCTAAGGGGCTTGTTTCAGGGGATGACAAGTGCCATCCGAGCGATGGAAGGGATTCAGCCAGGTCAGGATCTGCGTGGGGAGGCAGGCGCGGCAAGTGAAGATGCCCCAGCATGGGGAAGAGACCCCAGCGGGCCCTCCAGGGGGCACAGGGGGCACTAGTGGAGCTGAGAGGGAGAGGTGAGCGGGGTGTGGACTGAGCCGGTGAGGGTAGAGGTAGGGAGGCCAGCAAGGAGGCTGCCATGGTCCTCAGACAAGAGGAGACAGGGCTTGCACCAGGGTGGTGGCCATGGAGGGGTTTGTAGCATTTTGGAGGGTTGGGGTAATAGCTTTATTGAGATACCCAGTCGTCCCTTGGTATCCACGGGGATTGGTTCCAGGATGCACTGCGGACACCAAAATTCACAGATGCTTGAGTCCCTCATATGAAATGGTGTGGTATTTGCACCTTTAGGAACTACCTGACTGTCTTCCAAAGCAGCTGCACCATTTTACATTTCCACCAGTGGTGTATGAGGGTTCTAATTTCTCCACATCCTCACCAACACTTGTTATCATTTGCCTTTTGGATGATAGCCATCCTAGTAGGTATGAAGTGGTATCTCATGGTGATTTTGATTTGCATTTCCTGTTGAGCATCTTTTCATGTACATATTGGCCTCTTGCATGCCTTCTTTGGAGTTGTGCCTGTTCAGATCCGCTGTCCCTTTTTTCCATTGGGTTATTTGTCTTTTTATTATTGAGTTGTAATTATTCTATATATACTCTCGACACAAGTCCCTTATCAGACACGATTTTGTGATTTGTAGAAATCTCCCATTCCGTAGACTGTCTTTTTATTTTCTTAATGGTACCCTTTGGGGCATAAACATTTTTCACTTTAATGACGTCCAGTTTATTCTTTTGTTCCCTGTGCTTTTGGTGTCATATCTAAGAAACCCTTGCCCAATCCAAGGTCAGGAAGATTTATGACGATATTTTCTTCTAAGGAGTTTTCTCACTTTAGCTCTGACATTTAGGTCTTTGATCTATTTTGAGTTGATTTTGGAAGAATGTGTCATTTCTACATGTTTTGAAGGCAGAGTCTCAGCTTTGTGGATGAGGTGGAGAGAATGAGAGTAGGGGATGACCCCAGGGTCTTGGCCCGCCCAGCTGGGTGATGGGCCAGGTGGGGGAGGAACAATTTTGGAGCAGGAAGGAATCGAGAGGCCTGTTTTGGGCATGTGAAGTCTGAGGTGAGCGTGAGCAGTGAGTATAGAAGTTGTGTGGGCAGTGAGACCTACAGATCTGGAATCCCAACACGGAGAGACAGAATCTGGAGTTGTCGGTGCAGAGAGGGGATTTATTTAAAGCCATGAGGCATTATGAGAGACCCCCAAGGGAGTGATGTAGCAGAAGAGAACGCTCTGTGGCTGTCCTGGGGACATGCCTGCCTTCAGACATCCCTCTGAGATGCAGGGAGGCTGAGTAGGACCAGCCAGGCAGGTGGGAGGAGAACCAGAGAGTCTCACGAGGCATCAAACAGAAGAGGCTGTGAGGCAAGGGATCAGGAACTCGGACTTGCTCCTTACTGATGCTGTGCGTTCTTAAGTAGGTGCCTTCCCTCATCGGGACTCCCTCTCCCTGTCTCTGTGGGGAGGGTGTGAGGCATGTAAAATACAAATTCTGGAGTCCTGTATTTACTGGATTGTCAATTTTCCCCTATATATAAACTGAGTGGGGAAAAAAAAATGACAGGATTTGGACTAGTGTATATAGTATATCTTAATATATATATATATAATTTCCCTATATATCTGTGCATATGTGCATGTGTGTATGGATGTAGGGAGAGATGTCTAAAATGAGGTCGCCAAAAGTTACCGGTGGCAGTAATGAGGCTGGCTAACATTTATGGAGGGCTCTCCACTTGGGTCTTGTGGAGCGGACTTAGTGTGAGGCAAGCCAGTTGCCCAGGACTCGTGCACGTCCGCCCCCTGGTGGCAGCACTGGGTCATACACTTTCTGTGCTGTTCCTTATTTGGTTCTCCCATGAACCTAGAAGCTGAGTACTATTATTATTGGTCTTTTCCCACATGGTCAAGGTTCAGAGAGGTTAAGGCACAGTTATTAAGTAGCTGAGGCTGGGCTGAACTCAGACTTGTTGGTTCTACATATTACTTCTCATCATTGAGGTCGACTGCTCTGTGTGTGCGCGCGCGCGTGTATGTGTATGTGTGTGTGTGTGTGTGGGGGGGGTCTGGCCATTTAGTTTTTTTCTTTGCTCTTTTTGGTATAGAGTGGACTCTCGTGTTGTGACACATTCTTCCTGTAAATGACAATGCCCTAGTAAAGTCCTTTTCTTGTGTTCTGTGATCCAGGTGCCGTCCCGGGACCTAGGGAGGGAAGATGTCCTCCAGGACAATGAGCAGCCACTCCAGCAGGTGTCACCTGTGACCTTGGGTCCCCGGAGAAGCCACAGCTTCTGCAAGGACAAGAGGAGCGGGGCCTTTGTGGTGAGTGACACCGGCATGGCCGGAGTGGAACTCGCCGATGGTGCTGGTGGTCAGACGCCACTGGGAACGTGGCTGTACGGAGGGTCGAGGCTGGCCCGGGGGCCAGAGGTCAAGGACGGGCAGGCACCTGTGTGGGAATCTGGTGTTGCCTGATTGGCTCTGCTGCGGTCTCGATGTGGAGAGGGTTTGGTGGCTCCGCTGAGGAAGCCTTCCTTCCTCTCAGGTTTCCGGCCCACTGCAGAGTGGTAACCCCAGCTGCCTGGCATGGAGCAGTTCAGAGAACGTGTGCTGGGGTCTGAAGGTCCTGAGTTCGAATCCCAGCACTGTGCCCTCTCAGCCACTTTGAGCAATTTGCTTAATTTCTCTGCACTTCAGTCTTTGTACCTGGAAAACGGGATCATGATTCACGCCGTTGGGAGGATAGAGTAAGATTGTGTGTAGGGCCCAGCGCATAGTAATTCGGACAATAACTGATCCTTGTGGTCAGCATGGGAGGGAGTGTTAAGCTGGGTCTTCAGTCATATCGCCTGGGTTCAAATCTAGCTCTGCTCAATGAAGACAGGCCTCTGGCCTCAGTTTCCTCGTCTGTAAAATGGGCATAATAATAGTATCTACTTCACAGGGCTGATGTGGGGCTCAGACAGGATAATGCGGAAAGTGTTTAGCACGATCCCAGACACACAGCAAACACTTTAATAAGTGTTATCCTTACCATTCTTATTCTTGTTTTCGAGTCTCCATTTGGCTGTCCCTTAGCTCTGTCTCTTTGGATGGGCACGTCCTCTCTCCCAGCCCGTTTCCTCACTTGTGAAAGGAGGTGGGTACATGTTGCAGCACGACCTGGGGAAGCTCCCCACCCCCCGTCCCCACCCCCTCTCCAGAGCCTCTGTGTCCCCACGTGGGTTCCAGGGCTTCACCACTTCTGATTTTCTGTGATCTTCTTTGCTTTCTTTTTCTCTTTTTGGGCTTCAGTTTCATGATACTTGGAGATCTGCTGAGTTCTATACTTGCTAGGAAGTCCCTTCCGGGGCCCCAGGCCCCACATCGGGGCATCTAGAATAGGTGTTTCTTTATTGAGGTAGTACTAGTTCAGCTCACAAGTCCTTTTGGATCACACAGCTCCGTGCATTTCAGTGATATTTCTGCCTGGTCTCATGTCTTGCAGACATGGGATCCTCCAACATTTAAATCCTCGGTCCATTCCTTCTAGCTTTATGGCCGCGGGCAAGAACCTCACTTCCCTGAACCTCAGTTTCCTCCTTTGTAAAATGGGGTGAAGAGGATGCCCCTGGCAGGGTTTGTGCTTGGACCTGACAGGAAAACGGCTACAACAGAGTTAAAAACCCTGACCATAGGGCCGGGGTGACAGAGCCAGACAAGGAACTCAGACCCTGGCGAGACGTCTGCTGAGCAGCCCCAGGTGTTCAGATCTCAGCCACCAATTGGCACACATTTGAAATCTGCCTGGTTTTTCGTTAAATGTTCCCTTCCCCTGATTTCTTTCTTACCCTTTTGTCCATTCCCTCTCAGGTGGCACCGACTCAGCTTATCTGATTGTACTTGAACTTGTGTGTGTGTGTAAAGACAAAGGTTATGGAGAGAAAAGCATTTAAAACCAGGCTTTTTATAGTCTCTGCTTGCTGGCATCCTCCCTGGTCCCCTGGCTCCTCCTCCTCCACTCTGTCATTGAGGAGCCTTTGTCCTTGGAGTTCTCGAGTGGCTTGCTTTGGCTCTCTCCTTCTGGCCGCTCAGGCCCCTGCCCCATTGCTGCCTGCTTGAGCGCCTCTCCTCCAGAGGTGAGTGGGTAAGGCCTGAACCAGATGGGACAGGTGGAAGACCTCATGTCTCTGCTTTCACGAATCGTGCCTGCAATTCTGGGAGTGGCCACCAGGGGGGGGGTGGCGTTCAGCTCACTTGGTGGCACCAGAGCCTGACTGGGGGGAACCTTAGCATTGGGATCCTGAGGCTGAAAGAAAGTGGGTTCGTGTTCCTTGGGCAAGTGGTTTGATGGATCTCCTTGAACCTC